TACTGGTGAGACTGCGCTCTCAGGTACTGAGTCGTCCTCGTCCTCCCTCACTTTCACACTTGACTCCGGAGCTTCTCGCTCCTTCTTTCGAGACCGCACTACCCTTACGCCGCTCGGCCGGCCGGTTGCAGTCTCCCTTGCTGACCCCTCTGGGGGTCCTGTCCTGTCTCACTTCTCCACTGTCCTCCCGTGTCCGGCTGCCCCTTCGGGCACCCTGTCGGGTCTGTACCTTCCCTCGTTCTCTACGAACTTGGTGAGTGGAGCGGACCTGCAGGATGTGGGTGTTCACCAGTTCACTCCTGCGAGTCAGCGGGTGACCCACTGCACGGAGGCACGCACAGGCCGACACCTGGCCACGTTCTCGCGTCGGCCGGGGTCGAGTCTCTACACCCTGACCGTTGAGTCTCCTCCTGTCCCTGCGTCTGGTCAGGTGGCTGCGTCGGGTCAGGTACTTGCTGCTGCGTCCCGGTCAGGTCCTGAGTCTGCCCCCTGTTCTTGTCGCCTCCTGTCTCACGAGACTCTCCTGTGGCACCACCGTCTTGGCCACCCCTCCTTGCCCCGTCTTCGGAGCATGGCTTCCCGTGTCCTTGTCTCTGGTCTTCCCCAGTCTCTCCCTCCTCTCCCCTCCGGGCCAGGACCTTCCTGTGTCCCCTGTGTCGAGGGTCGCCTCCGGGCTACTCCTCACTCCTCCCACTTCCCCCCGACAGAGGCTCCCCTGCAGACGCTTCACATGGATGTGTGGGGCCCAGCCCCCGTCCGTGGGCAGGGTTACGAGCGCTACTTCCTGTTGGTGGTTGACGACTACTCGCGTTACACCACAGTCCTCCCCTTGCGCAGCAAGGGTGCGGTCACTGAGGTGCTGATCGACTAGATCCGCGAGGCTCGTCTCCAGCTCAGGAGGAGCTTCGGCTCAGACTTTCCTGTTCTGCGTCTGCACTCGGACAGAGGCGGAGAGTTCTCTTCTCGCCTTCTGCGAGACTACTGTCGTGCACGGGGGATCCGCCAGACCTTCACGCTTCCGGACTCACCACAGCAAAATGGGATTGCTGAGCGCCGCATTGGCATGGTCATGGATGTCGCTCGTACGTCCATGATGCATGCGGCTGCCCCCCATTTTCTGTGGCCGTTTGCAGTGAGGTACGCGGCGCATCAGCTCAACCTTCACCCCCGGGTCTCTCGGCCTGCGATGTCCCCAGCCTTGCTGTGGACGGGGAAGGTTGGCGATGCGTCTGTGTTCCGTGTCTGGGGATCTCGGGCGTTTGTCCGCGACTTGTCTGCGGACAAGCTGTCCCCTCGTGCTGCTCCCTGTGTCTTCCTTGGCTTCCCCACTGACGCCCCAGGGTGGCAGTTTTACCACCCCTCCTCTCGTCGTGTTCTGTCCTCCCAGGACGTCACGTTCGACGAGTCAGTCCCCTTCTACCGTCTCTTCCCCTACCGCACTCCTTCCCTCCCCCCTCCCCCGGACTTCCTTGTGCCGGTTCCCCCCCCGGTAGACCCCCTCCCCCCTCAGGTTCCTGCCCCCTCAGGTGTGTCCCAGGTAGACGCCGTTGACCCGGTCGAGGTTACTGGTGACTCTGGTGCTGCTGCGGGTGCTGAGCCTGGGGGTGCTGACTCTGGGGGTGCTGTGCGCGGGGGTGCTGAGCCTGGGGGTGCTACTGCTGGGGGTGCTGGGCCTGAGGGTGCTACTGCGGAGGGTGCGGAGCCTGGGGGTGCTGAGCCGGGGGGTGCTGTGCCTGGGGGTGCGGGGTCTGGGGGTGCTGGGTCGGGAGCTACTGAGCCTGGAGGTGCTGAGCTGGGAGCTGCTGAGCCTGGGGGTGCTGCGTCTGGAGCTGCTGAGCCTGGGGTTTCTCCTGCTGCTGCGTCTCGCCGGGAGCCCCTCTCTCCACAGGAGCTGCGCGAGTGGTTCGCTCGCCGCTGGAGGCGTGCTGCTGAGTCTGGAGGTGCTGCTGGAGCTGGAGCTGGAGCTTCTTCGACCGTCGTGGGTGCGGGTGCTGCCGGTCCCGGAGCTGCTGGACCTGCGGGTCCTCCTGGAGCTGGAGCTGCTGAGGGCGCTGGTGCTGAGCCTACTGCTGTTGGTCCTGCCACTGGAGGTGTGGGTGGCGCTGGTGCTGTCGCTGAGGGTGCTGGTGCAGACCCTGCTGCGTCTGGAGCTGCCGCGCGGCCTCGGCCGTACTTCGTTCCGCTCTTGCAGCAGGTTCTTGGTCTTTCTCCTCCGGTAGAGGGTCCACCGCCTGTCCAGTCGCAGTCCCTGCTGGAGCCTTCCTCTCCACTACCTGCTCCCTCTCCTTACACTGGTCCTACTGGAGGTCTTGCTGAGCGTCGTGAGCCTGCGTCTCGTCCCGCGTCGCCTGTTCGTGCTGCTCGCGCTAGTGGTCGCAGTTCGCGTCAGCGTCCTCCTCCTGTCCCTGGCACGCACCGGATGTCTTTGCGTCCGTCCACTGCTCCTCTGCGTGCCCCTTTGCCTTCTCCTCCTGAGTCCTCTCTTCCTGCGCTTGCCGACCCTGAGTCGGACTCTCTTCGTGCTGCCAGTCCTACTGTCACGCGTCTGCTTGCTATTGTCGTCACTGACCCCTCTTTTGAGTCCACTGCTGCGTCTGCTCTAGTCGCTGAGCTCGTCGACTTTGCTGCTCGCTGTCGTCTCGACTACGCTGCTAGTCTTGTTGCTGAGTCTGCGTCTGTCTGTCCTCCGTCCGTCGGGGGTGAGTGTGCTCTTAGCACGGACGTCCTAGAGGACAGGCAGGAGGAGTTACAGTGTCTAGCGGCTGCTTCACCTCATCTCGCGTCTGTACTGCTTGCCCCTGAGGGAGACCCGGATGCACTAGACATCCCGACTCCGCGTTCTTACGCGGAGGCCGTAGAGGGTCCCTACTCCTCTCAGTGGCAGGCAGCTATGGATGCAGAGATGGCTTCCTGGAAGTCCACAGGCACCTACGTTGACGCGGTTCCCCCTCCTGGGGCGAACATCGTCAGTGGCATCTGGATCTTCAGGGTGAAGCGGCCGCCGGGCTCTCCACCTGTCTTCAAGGCACGGTACGTTGCTCGTGGCTTCAGTCAGCGGCAGGGAGTTGACTACTTTCAGACCTTCTCTCCCACCCCGAAGATGACTACTCTTCGGGTGCTGCTGCACATAGCCGCTCAGCGCGACTACGAGCTTCACTCTCTCGACTTCAGCACTGCGTTCTTGCAGGGTAGCCTGCACGAGGAGATCTGGCTTCGCCGTCCACCTGGCTTCACTGGGACTTTCCCTCCTGGCACCCAGTGGAGCCTCCGACGGCCAGTCTACGGTCTCCGCCAGGCACCGCGTGAGTGGCACGACACACTGAGGACTACGCTTGCGGCTCTTGGGTTTGCTCCTTCTACTGCTGACCCGTCGCTGTTTCTTCGCACCGACACTTCCCTGCCGCCGTTCTACATCCTCGTGTACGTCGACGACTTGGTCTTTGCCACAGCAGACACTGCTGGACTCGCCTACGTGAAGTCCGAGCTGCTGAAGAGACACACGTGCACAGACCTGGGTGAACTGCGCAGCTACCTTGGCTTGCAGATCACTCGGGACAGAGCACGCCGCACCATTACCTTGACTCAGTCACACATGGTGCAGCAGGTCCTTCAGCGCTTCGGCTTCACGTACTCCTCGCCTCAGGCCACTCCTCTGCCTACTCGCCACTCACTCTCAGCTCTGCCTTCGGATGAGTCCGTAGAGTCGAGTGGTCCGTATGCAGAGCTTGTTGGCTGCCTCATGTACCTGATGACCTGCACACGACCTGACCTTGCATACCCTCTGAGCATTCTTGCACGCTATGTTGCTCCTGGGAGACACAGACCGGAGCACGTGGCTGCAGCGAAGAGGGTATTGCGCTACCTGTGCAGTACGTCGGGCATGGGGCTAGTGCTTGGAGGGCGGAGTCCAGTGGTCCTTACCGGCCACGCGGACGCTTCTTGGGCTGACGACCAGGCTACGCAGCGGTCGTCACAGGGTTACACCTTCAGCCTTGGTTCCGGCTCTGTCTCGTGGCGGTCTACTCGCTCGTCTTCGGTTCTCGGCTCCAGTTGTGAGGCTGAGATCTACGCCGGGGCCATGGCTGCACAGGAGCTTCGCTGGCTCACCTACCTGCTGACTGACCTTGGAGAGCCGCCTCGTTCTCCTCCAGTGCTGTACGTAGACAACAAGGCTATGCTGGCCTTGTGTCGAGAGCAGCGCTTGGAGCACAGAACGAAGCACATTGCTCTCCGCTACTTCCTTGCTCGTGAGCTGCAGCAGCGTGGTCAGTTGCGACTTGCGTACGTGGCCTCTGAGGCCAACACTGCTGATGTGTTCACCAAGGCACTCGCGCCTTGTGACCATCAGCGCTTTTGCACCCAGCTGGGTCTTGTGCCTGTCTTGCCTCACTTGCTCTCCTCTTGACTTCACTTGTACTGTGACATATATATATGCCTGCTCTTGTTTGTCTAGTTTTATATATATGTCTGTACTCCTGCATGTGAACTGGCCTCTGGCCCTACTCTTGTGCTCGGACTGTGTGGTGACTTTGTGATCCACCCTGAGCTTGCTTTGCTTTGCTTGACTGGTCTTGTGACCCCTTGTTCTCCCCCACTTTGCCTATGGGGGTGTGTCAGATTTATATGACATAGTTGCTGTAGGCTATAGTGGGGTAGCACATATGGGGTACAGGGTTTCTAGGGTTGTATTTGTACCCAATCTTTCCTTAGTCATTTCCATTCCTGCTTACTCGTTTCACACTTTTTCCTAGTGAAACTCTTGCCAATTTTCCCCGTGAACTAGCAAGTAGTGTGAGCACAAGGAAAACGACTAAGGGACAAAGAACGCAGAGATCACACGAGCACACGTGCCTAGTCCGTAGCCTAGCTCCCGTTGCTGTAGTTATCTCCGCATGGTGCGGTGAGCGTGGACGGCACACGACTTACGTTTTCAGTCAGGTCGACGTAGATACCACTTACCTATTGCGTAGTTACAGGCCGGCAACTGTGCAGTAGTCACTATGGTAGGAGCCGTATGTGACGCGGGGGTGGTGGACACCCTGGAGGCACGGTTGGAGAACGCGAGGAGGAAGCATGAGGCCAACGAGTATGGCGACTTGCCCTGGGCGGTCGTCGAGGCTGGACTCCGCTCCACGTGGGCGACGGAGCACCCGTCTCGACCTGCCTCTCCTCGTCCGGTGAACAACGAAGGCGGCGTCGACGTGGGCGTCCACGCCGGTGGTGGTCAAGTCGGCAGCTGTGCTGCAGGCACGTCGAGGCAAAGAGGTGTGATACATGTCGGTGAAGTCGGCGGCGTTCAGGCGCGAGGGATGCAGACGTCGGCGGCTGCAGGCTCTTCGCAGGGTGACGTCGGAGGCCGACGTAGTGGGCTGTCGCCGATGACGGCGTCCCAGGTGACGGCAGGTGGGATTGCGCCGAGCTACGGCTACTTCAAGTTTACGCCGGACAGGATCTCGGTCACCCCCCCACTGGTCGGTAGACCCGACATTCTCACCTGGAAGGAAGCCATCGAGCCCCAGCTGGAGATGGCCGGGCTGATCGGCTTCGCCCGAGGGACCGTGGCGACGCCGGGGGAGCACCACTCCGACCTGCGTGCGGAGTTTCGCGCCGTGCAGCTGTTGACCTTTACGGTCATCTCGCGGTGCTGCTCGCCGGGCGTGCAGATCGCCTTGAAGTGGTGCCGGGAGTACCTCGACGCCGGCCACCGGGCGTGGCATTTCATCGAGTCGACGTACCAGGTGACCGACGACCTGTTCATCGCCCAGCTGGAGGGACAACTGACACACCTGCGTATGGGTGACGAGGAAAGTGCGACCGACTACTGCAACCGAGCCAGGCGAATTCTCGCCACCATCAAGATGGCCGGCGCGCAGTACTCCACGGCGTCGTACATCACCCATGTCATGCAGGGACTTTCTAGCAGCTACAACCTGCTGAAGCGGCTGTCTATGGCGCCGAGCTCAAGGGCGACGCTCAACGAGGACAACCTCACCTCGTATATCCTGCAGGACGAGGCGATGCAGGAGGCAGAGCGGTCGCAGGAGCTCTTGGCGCAGGCCAACTTCGTCGCCCCGGCGAAGCAAGGAGGCCGACCAGGACAGCGCGGACAGTCTGGTGGCGGTGGGAGCAGTGGCTGGAAGCCGGCCAAGGAGGTCGACAAGAGGAAGTCGACCAAGGACAGCGGTCGTGGAGGAGGAGGTAGACGTCGGGAGTGCTGGCTGTGCGGCGATCCCGATCATCTCTCCTTCGAGTGTCCCAACCGCAGCGACTCCGACGACGACGATGCTAAGGGAGGCCGTGGGAGGTCTGGCAGCCGTCGTCCTCGTCGTGGAGGCAACCAACCGGGCAAGGAGAAGCAGTCGACCAAGACTCCGACTTCGGCGAAGGACGCCGACTCCGTTGCAGGCGGCAAGGGGCGAGACGACAAGACGGCGTCGTGCTCGCTGGTCGGCGTCGTGGAGCCGACCATCTCTCTGGCGCCGGAGGCCGGAGAGGACTTCCAGGCGGTGGCGGCGGCTGTGCAGGTGAACCCGGCGGTGGTCCTGCTCGACAGCGGTTGCTCCTACCACCTGATGGGGACGAAGGAAGCCTTCGTCGACTTGCAGCCGAGCGGCGTCATCAGGCATGTGCGCGGCTTCAATGGGGCGCTGCAGGATGTCCAGGGCTGCGGCACCATCGCCCTGCAAGGAGAGGTCGGGAAGGAGGTGCTCATCCCCGACGTGTTGTACGTCCCGGGTGTGCGAGCCAACCTGCTGTCGGCCGGCCAGCTGAAGGAGCATGGCGTGAAGCTGAAGGAGGACGGAGACGGCATGTTGCTCGTCTCGACAGCAGGGGAGGTGCTCGGGCGGGCGACGTACTCTGGACGAGTCCTCTGCACCGACCTGCGTCCCTGCGCGACGAGGTCGACGCCGCCCACGACGGAGGTGGTGGCTCTGCGGGCGATCGTCTCGAAGACGAAGTCGACGCCGGACCGGATGCATGCAAGGCTTGCGCATGTCGGCATGGACACCATACGGAGCTCGGCGAAGAACGAGGTCGCCATTGGGCTGGACCTCAAGTCGGCGACGGACGCCGACTCTCCATGTGTCTCGTGCGTCGGTGGGAAACTGGCGCGGCACACCTTCCCCGACCAAGGCTCCGACGCCGACGACGTGCTAGCCGTCGTGCACATCGACCTGTGCGGGCCGTTTCGCGTGGCTGCCAAGGATGGCAGCCTGTACTTCTTGCTGTTGAAGGACCGCAAGACCCGCTATGTGTGGGTGAAGCCGGTCGCCAAGAAGTCCGATGCGTTGCAGGCGTTCGTACAGTGGCTGGCGGTGGCTGAGCGGCAGACAAAGAAGTCGGTGTTGATGCTGCGCTCTGACCGGGGAGGGGAGTTCCTCGGGAAGCAGTTCACCGACTTCGTGAACGACAAGGGGATCGTCCACGACCTGACTTGCCCATACACCCCGCAGCAGAACGGCATGGCGGAACGGGAGATGAGAACGGTAGTGGAGTCGGTGCGGACTATGCTGCTGCACATGGGTGTGCAGCACCACTGGTGGCACCTCGCTCTGCGGCAGGCCGTCTGGGTCCGCAACTGCCTTGAGAGGTCGACGCTGCCGCCGGGAACGACACCGTACCAGCTGCTGACCGGGAAGAAGCCCGACTTGTCGCTGGCACGGGTATGGGGCTGCATGGCGCAGTTCCTTGTCCCTGAGCAGCAGCGTGGTGGGAAGCTGCAGCCGAAGGCCAAGTGGGGCCTGCACCTTGGTGTGTCAGAGGCGAGCAAGGGCTGGGAGCTCCTTGACTCCGCCACTGACCGGGTGGTCACCACGTCGGACGTGGTGTTCTACGAGGAGCTGTCGCTGGCCGAGTGGAAGACGGAGCATGGGCTGGTGTCCGGCCGCTTGCCGCCCTCTGACACCTCGTCGGCGACGCTGCCGCTGCTTGCCGAGGTCGGTGAGCTTGCTGCTGAGGACGTCGAGGACGTCCACACCCCTACCCCTCACCCTCTGACCCCTCCCCTCGTGGCCGATATGCGTGGGCTGACCTCGGTGTCGGCCTCCGGCGATGAGGGGAGTAGTGGGACGCCGCCTTCGGCGCCGGCCAAGTGCATCGCCGGTGGCCGACGTGACGAGCGGCGAATCGACGAGGGATTGGAGTCGACAGGGGAGGAGCAGGTCGGGGAGCAGCAGCCGACAAGGGAGCAGGCTGTCGTGAAGCCGACCACGGAGCAGTCGGCGACCGGGACGTCGGCAGGGGAGCCGACCACAGGGGAGAAGTCGGCTGGGAAGCCGACCACAGTGGAGCAGTCGGCTGGGACGCCGGCTGAGGAGCAGCAGGACGCCGAGGGCAGTGACGACAGTGCCGATGGAGGGGACGCCGAGGAGGTCCAGCAAGGACCGCGACGTTCAGGCCGACTTCGGAGGCCGCCTGAATTCTTCGTCCCCGCTGCCTTCACCACGGTGTATGACGTGGACGATGACGACGACCTGCTGTACGACGACGCCGAGGGGGATGAGGAGTTTCCGGAGCTCGACCCCGACATGCTAGCTGACCCCGAGCACCGTTGGGACATCTCGACGATAACGGTGAAAGAGGCGCTGGCGAGCTGGAAGGGCCCGGCGGTGAAGGCCGCCATGGAGGAGGAGATTCGGAGCCTCATCAACATGGGCACTTGGGAGCTGGTCGAACGCCCGCCGGGGGTGAACGTCATGAAGAACCGATGGGTGTTGACGACGAAGTACCACATCGACGACACCGTCGAGCGAGAGAAGGCGAGGCTGGTCGTGAAGGGCTTCACACAGGTGTACGGCGCCGACTACGACGAGACGTTCGCGCCGGTGAGCAGCTATGTCACGCTGAGGATCTTCCTCAGCATCGTCGCCGTCCTCAACCTTAACCTGATGCAGCTCGACATGAAGAACGCCTTCCTGCAGAGCAAGCTCGATCGGGTGCTGTACATGTCTCAGCCGGACTACTTCAACGACGGAACCGGCCGGGTGTGTAAGCTGCTGAAGAGCCTGTACGGGCTGAAGCAGTCGCCGCTGTTGTGGTACTTGGCGCTCAACGATGTGCTGGTCGGTGCCGGGTGGAAGAAGAGCCAGGTCGACGAGGCTCTTTACTACAAAGTCGGCAAGGGTGAAGTAGCCTGCTGGGTGCTGGTCTACGTCGACGACCTGCTTGCCGCCAGCAGCAGCGCTGCGTTGCTGAAGGAGTTGAAGGAGCTGCTGGAAGCCGCCTTCGAGCTGCGCGAGATCTCGCCGGTGCAGAAGTACCTCGGGCTGGAGATCGTGCGCGACAGGTCGGCGGGGAAGCTGTGGTTGCACCAGCAGGGCTACGCCGACAAGCTGCGTAGGCGCTTCCTCGACGAGGAGCAGACCGGGCGCACCCCGAAGACGCCGGTCTCGGTCGGTGCCTACGCCGAACTCACCTTCGATGACGAGGAGGCGCAGGAACGGCAGGAGGAGGAGTACCGGCAGAAGGTCGGCTCGCTGCAGTTCGCGGCGACGACGACGAGGCCGGACGTCGCCTTCGCCTGCAGCAAGCTGGGGAGCGGCCTCACGGTGAGGAGCGACCAGCACTGGCGCGAGGTCGATCGCTGCCTCGCCTACCTCGCCAACACACGCGACACCGCCCTGGAGTTCGGCGGTGGACCTGAGTCGCTGGAGCTGGTCGGCTACGTGGACGCTGACGACGCCGGTGACAAGCAGAACAGGACGAGCACGAGCGGCTACGTGTTCGTCTATGGAGGGGCTGCTGTCTCCTGGTCGAGCCAGCGCATCAAGTGCGCGACGTTGTCGTCGACCGAGTCGAAGTACGTTGCGGCCACTGAAGCTGGCAAGGAGGGACGTCGCCTTCGCTTCCTCCTCGCTGAATTCCGGCAACTGGACGCCGGGAAGCCGACTGTCCTGCGTGTGGACAACAAGTCGGCCATCACGGTCGCCGAGGGCATGGGGTTGACGGGCAACCTCAAGCACATGGAACGGCGACAGGTCTGGCTGCAGCACATGGTGAGGCGCGGGAAGTTCTTGCTGCAGTACATCCCGACCGCTGAGCAGCCGGCCGACTTCCTGACGAAAGCGCTGCACTATCCGGCCTTCAACCGGTGCTCCGTCGCAATCGGCCAAGTGCGCTTGGCCGACGTGGGCGACGGCGGCAACGACGTGCAGCAGTAGGTGCCATGCCCTCTTGCATGGCTGGTGCGGTGGACGACGTGCTATGTGTTGGGCGCACGTCGACGAGCTAGTCTCCGAGCTGTACTGCCGTGTGGGCTAGGTGCCCAAGCGTGAACGCGGCAGGGGAGTGTCAACGGGAGTTGGGTGTTGGCCCCGTCCTCGCTTGGGCGGAGCCGACTGTATGGTCGGGTGTGAGGGGAGCAGCCGACCTGCAGCAGTGGGTGAGCTGGTCGACGAGGAGGTCGACCTGCACGGGGGATCACTGCACGGGCGCCAACTTTAGGGTGGCGCCGACTTGGGAGTCGACCTGCAGAGGACGTCGAAGCCGACTTCGGCAATCGGCTAACGGACTGCTAGTCGACCTGTTAGTGGTCGACTGGACCTGGTGGTCGACGAAGGAGGGGCCGACGTCGACCTCGACTCAGGACGCCGAGCAGTTGGGCGTCGAGTAGCGGGGCGTCAACTTTGTGACGCCAGCTTCGGGTGGCCGACGTGGGTGGTCGGCCGACGACTGTGCTGGTCGACCAGGAGTGCTGGTCGACGTGGAGCTGGTCGACCAGAGGGGATGTCGACCTGGAGGAGGTCGACCGATGGTGTCGTCGACCTAGTGAGGTCGACGTGGAGGTGGTCGTCGACTTGGGAGGTCGACGGGCACGTACGGGAGCTGCTGGTCGACGTGGTTGCCTGGTCGACCAGGTTACCTGGGTGACGAAGTGCTGCGAAGGAGTGCGACGGTCGCCCAGGCGAAGTTGGCGAGCACGACCTCGGTGGTGGTATCCCGAGGTCGTCGTGGCGGACCAGAGGCAGTCGTCAGCTCGAGGTTGACGTGGAGTGTGCGCTGTGCAGGTGACGGGACTCTGCACGCCAATCGGCTACGCACACCTGCGAAGCGGGTGCACTGCTGTCCTGCGTGAGCAACGCTGGCACGCCGTCGACCTTGCCTTGCTGGAGTTCGGTCGACCAAGCTGCGCTGGCAGTTGGCCGACCTGAATGCTAGCTCTGATATAGTCTTGCATTGCCAACTTCATTGTACTAATGTTCTGAACTTTTTCCTAGTGAAACTCTTGCCAATTTTCCCCGTGAACTAGCAAGTAGTGTGAGCACAAGGAAAACGACTAAGGGACAAAGAACGCAGAGATCACACGAGCACACGTGCCTAGTCCGTAGCCTAGCTCCCGTTGCTGTAGTTATCTCCGCACAGCTCACCAGACGGGACCGCCGGACACGGAAGCACAGTGGAAGACCGTGCAAGCACTGGGCCCCCAGAGGGGTCAGCCAGTGAGATAGGAACAGGTGCAAGAAGGGGAGTGACTGTGGTAATGTCGCGAAAGAAACAGCGGGAAGCACCAGAGTCAAGTGAAAAGGTGTGCAAAGCCTGTGCAGGCGCAGTACCAAGGGGAGCAGACTCACAAGCACCTAGTGCTGCAGGGGCTATACCCGGATCCGGCGGCACACACAAGTAGCAGTCACCCTCTGTACTAACATTCAATGCATACATAGCAGCAAGAATATCCTCATAGTCAAGATCAAAGATTGGTACATCACGCCTAAGCAAGTCTGCCCAATTGGGGAACTCAGTAGCATCAGGAAACTTGGCGCGCCAGGCGTCGCTAAGTCGAGCGAAGCAGCGCTGCTCAGTGTGAAACCCTGTGCACTGGCGATTAGCGCGGGGACCTGTGCGGATGATATAGGGGCAGCGACCTGGACCCCCAGAAGCCCCACGCTTGGCATACCAGTCGAGAAGCTGTTGGGAAGTGGGGGTCTGGCGCTGACGCTGCTGCTGCTGCTGCTGCGGCTGCTGCTGGCCTTGACCACCACTGCCACCACCGCTCTCACCTCCCCCACCGCCGCTGCTGCTCCCTCCACCGCCCCCAGTGCCTCCGCCGCCCCCACCACCACCTCCACCACCTCCACCTCCACGACCACCCCCACCACCTCCACCGCCCCCGCCGCCTGCACCACCGCCACCTCCACCGCCGCCCCCACCTGCCCTGCCACCCTTGCCGCCCCTGCCGCTGCGTCGCTTCCCACTAGGAGCAGAAGCAGACCCAACCTCCTCAGCACCAAGGTAGTCATGAGCAGTAGCTGCGGAGGCGTAGGAGGGGGTGAGAGGGGAGGGGGAGCACCCCTCAAAGAAGGGAGAGCGAGGAGTGCCACGAGCAGCACCTACAGCGAGGATGTTCTTCTCTGCTGCGAGGAGGTGCTTCTCGAAGTCGTCGACAGTGAGAGTGGGGGGGTCTAGCGCGAGGAAGTGGGTGTCAGGGAGGCGGGTGACGAGGAAATAGAGAGTGAAGTACATCGGGGGGGGGGGGGGGGGGGGGG